GCTATGACAGTAACAAGAATTTCCAGCTCTGTTCTCTTGTACTGATTTTCAGTACACATTTTTTCTCCTTTTTATTGATCCATTTCCACTTACATGCATTTTTACTTTTAATATTAGGCATTGATAGAATAGCAGTCATGCTAAAGAAGTTCTTGTTTCCCTAGTTGATTGATCATTTGGAATTAATTTATCACAAAACTATCTTCATGTAAATGCACTGGTACATAAAATACTCTTAAGATGTATTTAAGAACCCCAGCTGCAACAACACACTGGGAAAGTTAAGGTTTGTGAAGCCTCTGCTAGACACTATTTTTAATTTCCCCCCCCCCCAAGATTTTTGTCCACAAATGCCAAATGGAATATTCCTACAACATTTGACAATGTCAAGTTACCTGATACTAAAAATGCTCTCCTTTTCAGTGTTGACTTTTGCCCTGCTAACATTTTCACTGGGTTCAAAGAAAAGTATTCTACTTGATTGAGCCTGATAAGCTCAATGACCTTATCTCATGAGAAAAATCCAGTAAGACAATCACTATAATGCCTGTATGATCAAATAGCACTGACAGCACTTAATTCTTTAGGTATCAAGTGCTTTCCTTTCCACTAAGAAAAGCCTGATCAGGCAGTTTCCTAAGTTTCCTGTTCTGAAAAAGAGAAACTACTTGTTCTCTTCCACTGTGAGTCCCAAATTTGTTGACCTTTCAGAATGGAGTGATGGGTCTGGAATTTAAGTTTCAAAAGCTCAAAAGAGAACTGTAACATGAATTTGGATCTGTCACAGGATATCAGCTACTTGGCAAGAGGTGAGAAAGTAGTCCTTTCTCTCTCCAATCCTCTCAACTTGGATTTCTTCTAAGTCACTTCCAATATCCAAGAATCAGGAGTGAGGTACCAAGGTCGCAAGGACTCACACCATTAAACTTCCAATACTCTTTCTTCACTGGTTTGGAGGCAGGCTGTGACCAATTGCTGGGGAAGCTCATTGCAATGCTGCTACTCATCATCCTTTGTTGTCATACTTTCAAATTGCATTGCTTCTGGGTGACCTACAATGAAGTATTAAAACCCCTTGCAAGAGACTAGTGAGACGAGATACACTGAAAAAAAAAATGACTTGTCAAGAAGAAAAGCCCCTCTTGAGAAAAAACAATGTTCTCAAACTGAGAGGAACTGGGTATTACTGCTGTAGTCCTGTCACCGCCTAGAAGAGAAGCAAGCAGAGAATACCTATGTTTCCTTTCTTGTACAGGGGGATCTCCAGCATGGAAAGTTTCCTGTAGTAGTAATTCACTAACAACAAGGATCAGTACAGCCAACAAGCAGGAAGAGAAGGACAGAAGCCCTCTCTCCACATGCACTCTGCAGCTGCATCAGGTCATGCTGCTTGCCTGAGTGCACAAAGCAGTGGAAGTAGATGGAAACAATTCTCTTTGCAGTCTATCTTTCAACATCCTGGTATCGAATAAATACAATCAAAAGCTCCAAACTGTCCAGTGGAATATGAATGAGTACACAGCTCCTCCCTGCAGTCATAGGCATTATTTTAGGGCTGTAGAACGTGCCAATCAATTGAAGGTATGGCCGAGTTTGGTAAACTTAAGTCTTGGGAAAAAATTAAGAATCAAAAGAGATCAGCTTGAAATATGTTTTCATTTTGGAAGCAGAGCAATTTATCATTTTAATCAGATTACAGTAAAACTTTCTCCAAGCCAAAGCATTTTCAGTTATCTTGGACAGAATCATACCTTTTTCATAATGATGACAGTTTCATATATTCTCACTTTTCAAGCCATTTCAAGACAAGAAACATTCCAGATTCTCAACAACTCTCAAAATCATTTCTCCATCTCACTCTGCTCAATACAGTGGCCAATGACAGCTCCAAAAATGCAAGAGGGAAGAGTATACATTGTTATTATTTGATAGAAAAAGCCTAAATTCAGTAGACAGCTACATCACTGAGATGCACAGGTTTGTCCTAAATAGAGGAAAAATCCTGGTGTTGAGCAGAATCCCCCAAAGAGTAGCATGAGCAACAGTGCCCAGCACAGTTGAAAGAGAGCTAGTTTTGGGGCTGTCCTTGTTGAGCTTGTGCAGCAACTAGTGCCAAAGATCTCGATCTTCATCTGCAACTCCTTGACACAACTGTAGTAAAACTTATCCTCACTGCAAGATGTATTTCCTGACTTGTCAGGAAAAAAAAATCCTAAGCTTTGATGCAAACTAAGATCAACAAAGTCAGTTAACTGTAAGTAGCTCATAAATTAGCATATTGTAATGAAGTTTTAAGTAGGTTAGTATTGTGTCTGAAAGTCTGTTCAGTTAGTTGTATTCTGTTTAGTGAAGCAAAAGTGGTATTTCACAGAAGGAAAAACAACCTAGGAAGTAAACTTAAGTCTTGAATTAGGCAACTACCATTGCTGAGAAGACATGCTAGCAACTCCACCAAGAAATGGTGAACTCCGCACCTCACTCAGCAGCCCACTACCAGCACCTTCAGTTTTTCTTACTTGCCTTTTTCTTTCTACTTTCTTCCTTCCACAAAAGCAGAAAAATAACAGAGAGGGGGCTGACTCCAACTCTCTTATTCCCATACTCTATCATTCATACCACTTAACTGCTTTCAGCTTGTAGAGATTCCTGACCTCCATTTGTCCCCAAGCAGGACTCCCATTCCTCTTACCTTCTTTAAACTGTTTTTCTCTGACAGCACCCAACATTTTCAAGGAACTCCATTTGAGCTCCAGCCACCTTCCATGACCTCATACCTTTTTGCAAACCTTGTTTCATCTGGCTTGGAATCTAAAGTAGAAATTGAATTACTAGGTTCTTCAAGAGCTGTAGGCAGAGGTACAAGTTAAACACCCAGAACAACTGAAGTAGCAGGATAAAAAGGGCTAAGGGATACTTTTTTAACGGCAAGAATGGCTGTCCACAATGTGTGAACATTGAAAAGCCTGTAATCAAGGCAACACTCAATTACTTGACTGCTTCAAGAGACCAGCCAATACAGTTCATCTGGACATTGGATGTCCCCATTTTTGAACCACATGCGAGATCACTGCAAACCAGGTGAAGTCACCGCCCCTAAACTTTACAGCTAGTTACACTCATCTCCAAGTACTACACATCTGAATTTGTTAGTGTCCTTGTCTGAATCAGTCTATCTGGTCTTTTATAACTTCTGAACTATAGTCTAAGTGCAGTAAAACAGTGTCCATAAATAACTCCCAATAGAGATTAATGCAGCAGTAAGTGAGTATTTGGACTTCCATTTGTCAGATTTTATTTCGGCAAGGTTCCAGCAAATGCAAGACTCTTGAAAACCAAGCTACACCATAGTAGTACCAGGTTACTTGAGTAAGATCCTGCTCAAATATAGAAAACCAAGCTATCTGTGCTGTCCTATGTATTTAATGCAAAGAACACTCAAAGATGCTTTTCCCTGGAACTGTTGTATTTTGTCTGCTAACTATGAATAGCTGAAGTCTTATGTTAATCAGTTTAAACAATCCATAATGTTTTTACTTGGGTCTTGGAAACCAACTTCCCTGACTTCATGAAACTATACTTTTTTTGTAAAGCAATATAATGATACCCTGCTAAGCACAGGTTTTAAGTTACATAAATAAAGTCCACCCAAACTGCAGCTTAGATGGGAAGGTTTCCAGAGAGTATTTTTCATGCTGTAGCTTAAGTAAGAAAAGTAAATTCTGAGAATTTATGAAAAAAAAAATTTTGCCAATAGCAACCAGAACCTTTTTAATTATACAAAATTGTAAGCTTCCTTACCCTCACCTAAGTTTCCAGTAGTAATAGTTTTAGTTTTGTAAGAGACTTGAGTTAGTATCAACACGGCTTTCTTAATTTTATAATTGACAGAAGTCACACAGAATGCCCCAACCACAGAATACACCAAAGAAAAACTCTTTAGCTGCAGGCAGAAAAATACATTCTACACACTGCTTCTACTTCAAAGTAGTCAAACATAACATTCTCTTGGGTAAACACCTAGTATTAATTTCCAGACCAGAACTGCATCTGTCCACTCCAACAAAGTGGTTCAGAGCAGAGCTTTCTCACATATGCTCTGATGTAGGTAATCCCTCATGACTCATCTGCTTATCAAGTCTAGTTGAGGCTAGGTTGTTTGGTTGGTTTTTTCCCCCACTTCTGCAAAACATGAAATTTGAATCAAAGAAGCTGGAACTCCTATTACAAGGAGATTCCAGTCTTGAACAGAGTCTTGCCAGTTTCACTCCTTATATCAATATTGTATCACTTACAAGACTGACTTTCATCTAACTGTATGGATTTGAAGGTACTGGTTTTAAATCAAGCTGACCTGTTTTTCAACTTTGGCAAGGCTCACTGTTAAGTTAGAATATGATAATGTTAACTTAATGGTGTTGCTACATATATACATGTATAATCAGGAATTTTAGATTCACACCAAAGCTCTGTGCTGTCAAGAAACTGTATCTTCACTAGCATGAAAAGATCACCTTTGTCCATCATGCATACAATCATGTCAGAAGAGCACAGCAATGGTAGCTTAAGAGAAAGTATCTACACCGCAGTTTAGGCAGAAAGGGAAAAAAATGCACCAGGACCAGTCTGTATCAAAGCCATCTATTATTTCAGAGAAAATAAAAATCAGACTGAAGACAGCACACTTCTCTTACACGTCAGACTGATTAGTTACTACTACTACTCCTTTTGTGCATCGGAACATACCCACACCACTCAATGCATTCATATGCAATACTAATTCTACCCTTCAGAAAAAGGAAGGCCAAGGAATATTCTATTTTGTCATAGACATCACCTTTACTGTTTTTCCAAGCATGACAACTTAAGTAAAAAAGTCAGAGCACAAAACATTTTGAAGTTTCAGCTACCACCATTTGTGTTTCTTCGATAGTAGTTTATACACTTCTTGTGAAAACCCTCCTCCAAAAACTTAAGTGGGCTTCAAAACGCTTTAAGAGAAAGAGCAAGTCAGGAGTAAGTTCAGTTCTGTCTAGTATCTCCAAAGTTACAATTACATCTGGCAAGTTTCATATCTTCCATTTAATCACTCCAAATCAGAAGCAGTTCTAGTTAATGCCAATTCATTGGTTCACTCAAGCCCTGCAATACAGGGGGAGAAAAAGTTATGCTCATTAATAGTTTATAATGCTGTCTTGGGACACAAATGTATTAATGCAGCTTAAGAGTTTTCCTTGCATCTGGTTTACTAGCTACCAGGGAGATGAAGGCTAAAGTTGCTTTGACTTTCTGGGGATATTGTGAGAGGCCAAAGTAACTGCAGAGGCAAAAGATATGCATGCGCCAACTGTTTTAGCTGGGAGTCAAACACCTCAATATTAAACAGCAGTCTAAGGAAGCATTCTCTTCCCGCTAAGGGCATACTCTAAATACTGCTGCTTGCCAGAAAAGGCTTTAAAAAAATGCTGTAGCTATGAATGTACCAAAAAAAGCTGTTTTCAGGTAGGAGGAATAGAATGAGCAATTCAACAGTACACATGAAAAGCTTGCATCTTTCACTGACTTATTCACTTCACAATCACTGACAAGACTGATGTACATATTTCTGCACCTGCAATTGTAAAAGCAGATAAAATATTTAATACGTAATTTACAATGTATTTTACCAGCTTGGCATACAGGATGAACAGAATATATCAAAGTAGTTGACAGTTATAGGCTTGTGGAGGCCCTGCAAAAATATTACTTCAGATATCTGCTAATTTAAAAAAAAAAAATCAATTTGCATTTTAGAAGTGATACAATTCAATCTACCACAAAATACAAAGAGCTGCAAAAACGTATACCATTCCAACAACAATGTATATAAGTTATTAAATAATGATCTGATTTAAAAGAATATAAATGAAGCCTTTAAGTAGGTCTTTTCTACATGCATATTAATCCTCATTAAAGAAAAATATGTAAAAAGGCCATTGGTAATTGCTTTGTTAACCACTGTAGAAAATGCCAATTCTCTGGTCACAGACGCCACTAGTTTAGCACTTAAGGTCTCTGCAGTGTTACATGTGATTATTTTTAAATACTGTTAATTCTATTACTCCATTGGTAAAGAATGCGTGACTTGGAATATGGCAGTCTTCATATTGAGAGGGCAGTGATGCACAGTTTTATAATTATCCAGAAGAACAGCACCCTCCACTGCTCTGTACTTGTGGTTCATCATCAATGATCTGTACACCTCGCCTTGCTATTCCTGACTGACTGGAACCATTGCCTCTTGCTCTTTCATCCACTTGAGCAGTTTCTATCATTCCTGTAAAGGAAGAAATGTATTAGATTTTATTGCACTGCATTTTTACACAAGACTGAGATCTTAATCTATTTGAGTTACATGCACAGAGACAGAGTTCAGCAAGACTGGTTCTATTTATTATGCAGAATTAAGTACTCGGGTATCACATGGCATAGCTGAAAGAACATACTTAAATCATCTTCCTAAAGCACCAAACATTCAGCAACTCCTGTTGACTATGGTAGACCTTAGATGCTCAAATGTTTTGGAGTTAGTGACTTCAAAAGCTACATTCACCCATCCATATCAAGAACATTCTGTTAAAAAAAAAACCAAGAACCACCCTCCCCCCCCACACACACACACCACACCACCCCCCACGAAAATCCCCAACCTGCTCTTCAGACATGCAGGTGAAGTTTTGCTTAAATTCTTATATCATAAGAACACAACGAATAGGACAACTTCCCTGTGTTGCAACGCTTTTATCCCACATTCCGTGATGTTTACCATTTGCTTAGACTGCTGTGTAAAATTTGCATCATTAGAACTTCGAGTTCATGATTTGTAATTAACATCATTTGAGAAGATTTTTTAAAGAGGTTGAAAGAGGGTTTGAAGCAGGCAATAGTGAGACCAGTCACATGAAGGTTGATTTGAGGTTACTATTTACACATGCTGAGTGAACCAGCAGTCAGTGCTCCAACAAATGACAAAAAGACATTTTTGGAATACAGCATGAATTTGCAATATTTTAAGCATCCATACATCAAGCTTCCATAGCTGTTACGGTACACAAGTGGCTTGACGTAGACTCCGATTAAGTCAGTTCTTGGTAATAGTTTACATTAAGGCTTTTCTATATGGTTTTAAGCATTCTGAAGCCTTGAGCATTTTGTGAATGAGCTCTTTACCAACAAAAGAGATAATACCTACTTTTACAAAGGTCAAGAAACAGTTCTTCAATTCCTTTGTTCTGTTTAGCTGAAGTATGATAATGTTTTGCTCCAACAGATTCAGCATACCTGTAGGAATGCAGATACAGAACTTCATTGTACTAAAGGACTCAAATCTTTCTAAGCAACTTTACATGAAGCAAAAAGATGATCACAAGAGGTTTTATTCCAAATACAGAATTAATCAGTGAAATCATATGCTGATTTATGTAAAATAGGAATTATGTGGTTAAAACTGCCATGACTGATAAAAAAACACTACATGAAATAAAGGAAGTTTAATGTCTAGAAATGCATTTAAACTGCAAATGACTTTAATCATGTACAACTCTCAAGTTACACTTTGGTCAGTAAGGACATTCTGTGACTCAGATACCAACAGAACACTTAACACAGCAGCCAGCTAGGCACTGCTGGTTTATGCCTGCCAGTTGTTAACAGCATCACAAGTTTGTTACTCCAGCACCATCTTGCAATGACTGTTTCTATTAATAATTGGTGTGACTTACGTTTCTGCTTCTTGCACTGAAACATGTCTCTCTTTTTCCAAGTCTATTTTATTACCTGTTGGAAACAAGTTAATCTTTCAAGTCTTTGTACTCCAAAATTACCCAAAAGAAAGCAGTCATGTAATCATTGTACACCATCATATTCTTACAAGCTGTCCCAGTAAAGACCAACTTTTACACAGGTCTCAATTTGGAGCACAATGATATAAGAATCCCCTTTCACTCAAGCATTTACAGGCAACAAAGATGAAGTTCGACTTCTGTAGAGAGATCAGGATAGCTAAATACCTCCATATAAGCCACCAATTCAGCCTTCTGCTTTTCTTTTGTAATTTATGAGCAGCTTATCTGTGCTGCAGAGGTAGTTTTTGTAGAATATCCATACATCTGTCCTCCTGAAAGTGTTTTAACCACTAGATGCAATTTTAAATCTAAACCCAGTATTTCTGCTGCATTCTGTTTGCATTGAAATATCCAAGCTTTAAGACTCATTCCACCGGCCAAGCACTTGATTATGAAAACAGACTAGCATCCAGTCTATGCCACTGAGAACAGTAAAAAACGTGACATTTGAGTACTTGCAAGAAGGATAATACACACTTGAGGTTTATGTTTCTCTTCATTAAACTACAGTCTGCAGGTGTCTGTACCATGTACTTCCAATACAGTGTCATTAAACAGCTTGTTTTTCAAAACTACCTCTTATTTTCCTCAATGTGATCTACTGAAACTTCTAGCTCCAACTGAATTTTAAATACGAAATTAACCTAAGCTTTACCCCTTCATATGTACAAGCTGTGAAAGCAGTGTTTGGAAGATGCTACTAATCAAAAAAACCATTTCTGATTCAGTGATTATAATCACATGTTAAAAGGACTTACCTACTATACATAAACAGATTTCATTTCCCAACATTTTTCTTAATTCTTTAACCCAGTTTTTTACCTGCAAAAAGAACAGAGGTAAGTTTATTTTCACTTTATATATTACTACCTCAGACATTGTGGAACTGACCCATTTCTTTCATTAGCTGTTTACTCTAAACTTGAAACAAACATGTTTAGAGCAACATAGATGGACAAAATATTCTTTAGATAGCTACACATGGCTCTTGTTCAGCATGTTTTAGTTTGCAGCTGAAATTAAGAGCAAGTGACTTAAATAAAATGGTTCAATTACTCCAGAAATATAACTCACCACACTTGTGTTAGCCCCACTCCAAAGAACAAGTTCACTGCATTGGCCACTTTAGGTCAGGCATGAGATCTTTTATCAACAGGCACTTACTGACAGATCACAAATGGTACTTTAAAGGTAGAGGTACCTGAACTGAGTTGTTCAGGTTAGATTATAACAGATGTTTGCTTCCTGAGAGAACAGGTGGGACAAGAGTGTCAAGTCAGCTGATGGTAAGGTATCTGTTATCAATTCTGTTGTCATGCTTTGAAGTTGTATGATCACTGCATTGACTTAGGGACTGCTATTTTAAGGGAATTTAAGTTGTCAAGAGAGGCAATCACTTCAAGAACCTAAAAATAGTTAGGATACATGATACAGAGGTAGTTATGCAAGAACTTCTGCAAATTAACCTTCCCTCTTTTTTCTGAGAATTTAAGTGTTCTGACATCACAGAATTTTACTAAGTAGAAATCAGCACAAAAACACACAAGTTGTAGTACTCACAAGCCATCACAATTCTGCAGATGGGGCACAAGCGTTTAACTGCTAGCACAAGTGCTTTACTTGCCCTACATCAGACTATTTAAATTACTTAAGCTGTTGTGGAACAATACCCTTATACTACTTTCTATCACTGCTAACCCAAGCCTTGCCCATACAACCACAATTTCTTAGTCCTCTACACAGAAGTCCTACTGGTTTTGCCACAAGCTAATCGGAGACAGACTCACTTAGGAA